GACAGGGTGATGTTTGTTTTGTGTTGCTTGCTCGCGCCGCCCGGTGTAACAGGGTGATCTTGCTTTTGCATAGCTTTGCATCTTTGCGCGCCGCCCGGTGTGACAGGGTGATGTTTGTTTTCTTTTTTGCTTGCTCGCGCCGCCCGGTGTAACAGGGTGATCTTGCTTTTGCATAGCTTTGCATCTTTGCGCGCCGCCCGGTGTGACAGGGTGATGTTTGTTTTGTTTTCGCTTGCTCGCGCCGCCCGGTGTGACAGGGTGATGTTCGTTTTGTTTTTGCTTGCTCGCGCCGCCCGGTGTGACAGGGTGATCTTGCTTTTGCATAGCTTTGCATCTTTGCGCGCCGCCCGGTGTGACAGGGTGATGTGTGTTCTCTTTTTGCTTGCTCGCGCCGCCCGGTGTGACAGGGTGATGTTTTTTTTAAGCCTATTTTGTTAGCTGTGCTCAGTGTGACATTGTAATGTTGGATTTGCTTGCTATCGCATCGCCTGGAGTGGCAATGTGATGTTCTTTGCACGAGCTGACATTCTGGAGGAGCACTGGAAATGAAAGTGATAAGTCCAAACACTGTTTTTTACTTACGTTATCCGTCTAAAGGGATGCCATGGCTTTTTTTTGTCAGTCCTCAGTAAAGATCTTCCTTAGAGGTATCAACCGCGCCAATGCACACTTTGGATTTGGATTCGGTATTTTTCACATTAAGCTACTACAGTCAAAGGTTGAGGCTGTGAAGATAAGTTCTCCTTGTGATGATAGGTCCAGTGGTGAATATGAAAGTACTACTACGGCGGATTTACTACCCACTATGCAGCGTCTTTCGGAGCCAACAAAATAGATTGTAAGGTTCTTCAAAGAAATAATGTAACTTTGCCTTTTCAATGTTTACTATAAGTGTTTTTCAGCTATGTCCCTTACTTGGCTCAAGTTGGATGACATGGAGCGTTTGTTTGGCCGCCAGTGCCATACTTTGTAGAGTCTGAGCCAGTAGGAGAATTAGAGCAGCTAGCCTTGACTTCATTGGTTAAGAATTATTCAGATAGAAATTATATGTTCACCAGAGCAAGTGAGTTTGGTAAAGCGGAGCTAGCACGCTGCAAACGGAGTTAAGGTAGAGAGAATGCCCACGCCTAAGGAGCCAGGATGCAAGGGAGCGTGTGGGGAGCGGAGCGCGTGGGGAGCGGAGCGCGTGGGAGCGGAGCGCGTGGGAGCGGAGCGCGTGGGAGCGGAGCGTGTGGGGAGCGGAGCATGTGGGGAGCGGAGCATGTGGGGAGCGGAGGTGTGGTGAGCGGAGAGTGTGGGCAACGGAGTGCGTGGGGGCGGAGCAATCGGGTAGTGGAGCGCCAGGTATGATGAGGAGCTGCTAAACCATAACTCTGTCACGTAGAAAAAGAAGCGCACATGGCTAGACGGGCGCGGTGGACAATTGGGTCAGGCGATGGCTCTATTTCATCTATATGAGATGCAAGTCGAAAATCATTGGATTCTAGAAGTATGCAATCGCCAAACTCCGGAACACTGATGATGTAAATGCTGGACTTTAAACAGCATGCAAATATGTAAGCAGTGAAGGCTGATTCGAGCAGGGCCTTAGTGACACTGTAATTAAAGCGCACGGGTTGAACTTAACTATTAATATGTCTCGTGCAGCGCATTCTGGCTCGTTTGCCCGCTCGATCTGGTCATTTGCTCGTTTTGCATCGCGTGGGGCCCATGGCGGAAGGGTGTTTGAACGGTTCATCATGCAAGACGAGAGACTTGGCTAAAAATATCTTTTTAAGTATGTATGACATACAAAATTGCCTTGCTCTTTGCGCATCCTCCTAAGGTGTGGCCTCAATCTTTGACCCTATTGGTGAACGCGCTCACAGTTCGGGCGAAATTGCTCTTGGCCGCTTCTTCGTGAACTGGTTCAGCTGTCAGTGCTTCTTGTTAGCAGTGATCTTCACCCGATAGGTCTGAAATCTGCCACTGTAAGTGCATCGGCTGGACACTGGACAGGTTGTAAGAGGTCCGATGATTTTGGTTCGCTTTCAGGCCCGGCCTGGGGTTTTGCCATGTATCAAGCGACGGAGCATATCTAACAAGTTGACTTTCACTTTGCTGTGGCAGGCCCTTTCACTGATGTTGATTGCGATTGGCTGCGGCAAGGCGAAGTGCAACGCATTTAAACTATACGGGTGATGCTGTACATTGATTCTTGCCTAGGACTGCTCTTGCCTTCTCTGTTTCGCCTGGATCTGGACGAATATAATGGAGTATGGTGTGCGCCGACAGAATTGGCATTTAGTTTAAAATTGTTCTAACTTTTTGTACTGCACTGAAGCACAAACATGTTGCACAGGTTGTAAGTGGTCTGATGATTTTGCTATGCCTTCAGGCCTTTGATTTCGCATTATCAATGAAAAGGAACGAATTTGCCAACCCGATTTTGTTGCGACAGGCCCTTTCACTGACACTGATTCTGGGTGGTCGAAGCCAGGAGAAGTTTACATGGTTTCGAGGAATAAAAGATGTGAAGCTGCAGAATGGCTTGCGCAGGATTGCTTTGGCCTTTTGTATCTCGGGGATACCTGGAAGAATATGATGGAGGATGGTGTGTCTTGAAGCACTTGGTGATCACATCCTAGCACCAACCTAGCGCATGTCAACACAGATTTTTTATACAAGGCGATTGTTTCATGGCGTCTATCATCGGGCGCTGTTGCGACCAAGCAGATTTGGCAACACGCTCCAACTGCTCCTTGCCTTGCCTTTTCAGTGTGCAATATCTAAAGCATAGTTGATTTGCCCACTGCGAGTGAACAAGGCGACTACTTTATGCAGGGAATCATCCGTCGTCTTACTCACGTATGCCATGCCGGTTGCTATGAAACCATTCAATGTGCCTTGGCCGGAAAACAGCGGAATTGGTTTGAATTTGCGTGAGTTTGCAATGATACCTGCCAAGGGCGCAATTCTGGATTTGGATTGAAGCAAGTTGCCACTGGTGGGTGCAAAGTCAAGGAGTCAAATGTGAAGCTGATTTCTTGCCCATTGTGGTGTGACTCGCTTGTGAAATACAAGGTAGTACGCTCACATGCCACAGGTGTCTCATGTCGATACCGTAGATGCACATGGTAGCCTGCAGGTGATGCCCTTGCGTGGAAGATTGCGAGGCGGTGTCGCAGCACGACTTCATTTCCAGTGGGGCTGGAGCTTCCCAACTGGAAAAGAATTTCGCGGAAGCAGTGGTACTTCCGATTCAGGCTTGGACATATAGCTGTTGAGATTTGCAATTGAATTAAAATTCTTGTAAGGGGGCAGCGAGCGGCTCCACTACATGAACCACATGCAGAGGCTGAAAAGCAAGCGGCAGCTTTGTTCGCCTTGTTCACATACTGCTGCTGTCGACCCGAGGCTCCAGCGCAGTCAAGAAATGATACTGGTCGGCTGCAGCCTAAGGTTTTTATAATGCTCAACGATTTGTGA